GCGGAGCAGCGGCTGCTACAGCTGAGGCCTCTCTCTGGACACAGGAACGGCTGAAGCCAGGGCTCAGAGGGTTGTATGCCTCGGCACAGCTCCCCTCCTTGCTGCGTGCACGCACACACACGCACGCTGCATGCACAAACAGGTGCACACACTCACATGCGTGCGCACGCACACGCACACACAGCAGGGCACGCCACTCGCACATGCACACACCCCCCCAGCAGGGCCCCCCCCCCCCCTACATACACACACCCAGCAAGGCACACCACTCACACACACACACACCCCCCAGCAGGGCACATGCACACTCCCCCCCAGCAGGGCACACCCCCCCCCTACATACACACACCCAGCAAGGCACACCACTCACACACACACACACCCCCCAGCAGGGCACATGCACACTCCCCCCCAGCAGGGCACACCCCCCCCCTACATACACACACCCAGCAAGGCACACCACTCACACACACACACACCCCCCAGCAGGGCACATGCACACTCCCCCCCAGCAGGGCACACCCCCCCCCTACATACACACACCCAGCAAGGCACACCACTCACACACACACACACCCCCCAGCAGGGCACATGCACACTCCCCCCCAGCAGGGCACACCCCCCCTACATACACACACCCAGCAAGGCACACCACTCACACACACACACACCCCCAGCAGGGCACATCACACACACACACACACACATACACCCCAACAAACATGCTTTCTTGTGGCTAAGTGGTATGACTTCTAGTCTCTTGCTTCACAAAAGAGAGAGACAGGATGGTCTTGGTGCTGCTGTAGAAAACTGGAAGTCAGGATCTCTAGGTTCAGTTCCTATCTTGGCCTCCATCACAGTTACAAGGCATCTCTCAGGTGAACTGAGGCCTGGCTTCTGTCCGTGCCTCAAGGATGTAACCACGTGATTCAATAACTCTGGGTCTGGCTTTCTAGGCCCCCTTTTCCTAACCATGCAAGCACGACAGGCCCCACAGGATGGACATTTGTAAGTCTTTTCACTCCAGAAGGCAATGGAAACAGTTGATTAAATAGCTCAAAAAACAGTTTCAAAGCAAAGCATGATTTATCCACCCAGTACGATAGCATGCACACCAAATGGTAAAAACAATGAAGGCTTAGACCTATATTTCCCCTTCCCTAACCCTTAATCTTTCCTATCAGCTTTTGAGAGTTTCTCCACCTTCCAGAACCCATATAACACCAGGGCTACGTCTACACTGGCCCCTTTTCCGGAAGGGGCATGTTAATTTCAGAGATCGCAATAGGGAAATCCTTCGAAGTAGGAATAAGATCCTCCGGAAAAGGGCGCTTTTTCCGGAGGATCGGGGCCAGTGTAGACGATCTTTTCCGGCTTTTCTAAAAGCCGGAAAAAAGCGGCGGACATTTTTATTTAAATGCCGCGGGGGATATTTAAATCCCCCGTGGATTTCCCTATTGCGATCTCTGAAATTAACATGCCCCTTCCGGAAAAGGGGCCAATGTAGACGAGCCCTA